CCCGCACCCCTCCCCCGGAGTAACTTTGTAAAGAGAAGGACAAAATAAATGAAAGAGTGCCGTTCAGTGGGGTTGACACATTTGCATGTCATTAATGGACGTGGAGAGGAGGGGGGGCTGCGCAGTGCGCAGCGGGGGATCGCCTGATGAAACTTGTAAGGAGGAAAAGTAGGGGTGGGGGTGGGGGGAGAACTTCCCTTCATAGCAGCCAAAGCTAACCGCGGACCCGGCGGCAGCGAGGCGGGAGAGCTCTCGGATGCTCTCCACTCCAACTAATGAATGAACTCTGTGTTGGCGAGACTCGTCGTCTCTCGAGTCGCCGTCTCGTTGTCGTCGTTTGCTCTATGGAATGACTTTATTAGTAGGCTGTGACTCGGCGACAGATTGCTTACTTCGTGGGCGGTGCTGTATCGCTCTCTACACCTCGGTCGACCCCGTGAGGGTCATGAGGTTGTCGTGGTCGTCAATGTTTTTTTCTTTTTGTCGTCTTCTCCAGTTCGTAGTGATGGGCGGGACGCCCAAGCGCGTGGAACAGTTCGCCTACTACATCATGCAGGAGATCGGGCACAAGCTGCCGGCGGGCACCACCCTGCTCGACATCAGCCAGTACTCCTACCGCTACTCCATGTACAAAGTGGGACCCGTGCTCTCCATCAGCGTGAGTACCCGACGGCTACGTCGAGGAATTTTAGAGTCCGCGAAATTTTTACGGGAAAAATATATACTTTTCGAGAAAAAATCGGAAAAAAATTGAAATATTTCCAGAAAAATTTGAAAAAGACTTTGTCCTCCACCCGCAGCACGGCATGGGCATCCCCTCGGTCGGCATCCTGCTGCACGAGGTGATCAAGCTCATGTACCACGCACGCGTCAAGGACCCCATCTTCTTCCGCATCGGCACATGCGGCGGCATCGGCATCGAGGGCGGCACCGTCGTCATCTCGGAGGAGGCCGTCGACGGCATGCTGCGGCCCGTGCTGGAGCTGGTGGGTGGTGTACCTCCTCTTGTCCACGTGCCCATGGCCACTCGTGGCTTGGTAGTTCAATACTACGTGATTTTTAGGGGAGGGGATACAAATATTATGGGGTCCCAAAAATATCAGGACCACCATTGAAGTCCGTACACTGTAAGTTTCTTACAAAAACCTGCTCTTTGTTACGTACAAAGGATTTGGCACCTTTGTAATTTAAACAAACCCTTTGCAATACGAAGGGCTCGGCATCGTAATATGAAGAGGTGCTCTGTGTAATACGAAGCGGTGCACTTTGTAATACAAAGAAAATCCGTTTGTAATATGGTGGTTCCAGATCCTTTGTTCGTTACAAACCCAATCCTTCGTTAAGAGTAGCTTCTCTTTGTAAGGAACTAAGAGTGTATGACCCCATAATATTTGTAGCCCGGGGTACCAATTTCATTGGGTCTCTATGGTCCAATAATGATCCTGATCCTTTTAGGAACCCCGTAATATTTGTAACCGCCCCTAAAAAGCCACGTGGTATTGGAACGACCCCTAACAGCCTGCCTCTTTCTTCAGCCCGTGCTGGGTAAGCTGCACTCGCGACCCGCGCGCCTGGACAAGAAGCTGACGCGAGAGCTGAAGGCGCTGGCGAGCGCCGAGGACCCCTACGACACCATGATCGGCAAGACCATGTGCACGTACGACTTCTACGAAGGTAAGCAGCAGCCCGATCCTGGTCCCGCGTAGCGCGTGCTCCGAGGCGTTATCCCACCACTCACTCCTTTTACTCGCCACAGGCCAGGGAAGGCTGGACGGCGCGTTCTGCGACTACAGCGACGAGGACAAGATGGCGTTCCTGAACCGCGTGCACGAGTCGGGCGTCACTAACATCGAGATGGAGTCGCTCTCCTTCGCCGCGCTCACGCACCACGCTGGCATCAAGTCGGCCGTGGTCTGCGTCACGCTCGTCGACCGCCTCAAGGGAGACCAGGTGAGCTGAGTGGATCGTAGGATCGTAGACGGTCGAAGACGGGGCGGGCGGACACAAAATAATTACGACTTTGTAAACTGGTGGGGTCCACTATTTTCACGGTGCAATTGACTTGGGGCCGCAAATTTAGAACTGATCGAAAGCCACGAGGCCGAAAAGCCCATAGGCTGGTCCCATGTCATGTTGGCCCCAAAAGAGCCCGGATCACAATTAAGTTATACTGTAGTGCATGCAAGCGTTGCCTCCCGCAACGAGACGTAAGGCGCCGTGGTGCGAGACGATAGGCAAGCCCGCCCGGCACGACTGAATCCGGTACAGTATGACTGCGCGGGGTCTGCTGTGGGCCGCCCTGTAGGCAACGCTTCCCAGAGGAAATTTTATCATGGCAATCCAAATGGATTGGTCATCCCTCTGCTCAATTTAGAAGGATGAAATAAAGTGCCCCACCATTGTACAAATGACGTCCTGGTCGCCAGAGCTCACACTGTGTCCTGTGTCAGGTCCTGGCGCCCAAGGAGGTGCTGAACGAGTGGCAGGAACGCCCCCAGAAGCTCGTCTCGCGCTACATCAAGCGCTACCTGCAGATGAAGGGGCGCCTCTCTCTGGACGGCCACTGCGGCTCCATGTGCGTCAAGTCGCCGCGGCGCTTCAAGCTCGTGCAGCAGGAGTCCGAGCACGTCGACTAGGCGGTGTCGACGTCGCCGGGACATCGGGACGATATCGGGAAGGTCGATCGACGCCACCAGGGAGCGTTAACGCCGGCCGGCGGCACTGCGTCAATTTCAAAAAGCCGGCATCTTAATCAATTTATTTTATTTTTATTTTTTTCTTCAAAGAAAATTTCGTGTAGTACGCGTCATTGGGCTGGCAAAGGAAAGCAAAATTGTTTTTCTTTTTTTCCTGAGACTTAGGTCAATACCCGGCGTAGACTGGGGTTCCAGGGCGCCTCCTTGAAAATTATAGATCGCCACAGGTAGCGGATAAGCCGCGCTGCCCTGCCGTCGGCCCGGCCGCTCCGTATTTTAAAGTTATCTTTCTCATTATAGTGGCTTCTCCCATCATCGGTAATCTCCGGGTTTCTGTGACTTTTAACGCTACTTATGTGATTGTTTTGGCTTAATCCTATTCATGTTCTCTGTATATTGTATCTGTTCGCCTGATCGATTGTGAGAGTAAATGAAAATGTGCACTTGAGTGTATCAGCAGTGTGAAAGTACAGGATGTATGTGTGTTCAAATGTACGTGATTTCATTGTTATCGATTTATGTATTATACTACTGAAAATATTTATTATTAGTTTTGCTGTAGAAGTATTGAGTGCGATTGCATCAATGAACATGTATTGAAAGACATGGACAGTAGTTTTAATTGTAACTACAAGGATTCGGGTCTTGTCATTTTAAGAATCATTTCTGGCATTGATGCCTGATTTTTAAATTAGCAAGGCACATCTGGTGAGTTAAACATTCCATATAAAAAGGTTGTACTACAGCTGAAAAATTTAATCTCAGCTCCATTACCATTTGTTTGGACATATTCAGATTTATCTTTAAATAAATTGTTGAAATATTGTTACCATGATAAGTACTTAACTATGAATAATTAATCTCTTCATTCCAGTTCTCATTACCATATTGTTTACGAAGATAGCAGTATCATAATAAAGAAGGAGCTGCTTTTAGCGCTATCGCTAAACTCTACATATGTATGATTTTTAAAATTTATTGAGGGGTCAATTTGAAAACAGAATGCAGCCCAGAATTATTCTTTTTTAGTGTGAAGCTTCTTTTTGAGTATAAGTTAGGCGCTACGACAATATTAGAATAATTATTTGTGAAGTTGTATTACAGTTGTGGCCCTGTGCCAAAATAAAAGCACTCATTAATTGTTTGTACCGAGTGCCAGCAATTCATACTGTTTTTGTTTCAATGTAAATCGACTTGACGAATAACTTTTCTCAGGGGGAAATTCGTATTTGTCAATTAGCACACAGCACTTTCACTCTGCCTGTGGTCTTCCACAATTACCTATGACTTATTGGAAAGCTATCCTACAATGTATGAGTGTCAGATACACCTGTAGAACACGTCAATGACACACGTTCTTGCTTCGACTTACCCGGCCCCCTTATTTCTTACACCGTTTCCAGCTGCAGTATTTACTTTTAGTTGCTGGTATGTTGTGCTTCTTACCCTAGTAGCGCCAATGCGCGTACAATGCGCATTTTGGGCGCATTCATGTGCATTGTGCATTTTCAATGCGTGAAAAATGCGCGCATTAATGGGGGTGTTTAGCAATGCGCATTCACGAAGGCGCATTCCACCCGCAATAAATGCGCATTATGTATGCGCATTAATAATGCACCCTCAATGCGCATTTACGAAGTTGCATTTCACCCGCAATAAATGCGCATTA